GATAAATCATTTACATCTAATATTCGGTAGACTCCACGAGTCAGTTCTTAAAACTCCCCTAAGGCCAATAGGAACATTATCCCCTTTGTGGATGGTGAAAGAATTGCCAATAACCCCAATTTTTGCCAAGTAGTCTGCTGCCATATTTCCTTCCCTATAGATATGTATTATCTTAGCCCGGGTGGCTTCAATCAAGGCGTAAATATTCTCCCATAAGTCCCACAAATACCATAGAGTGCATCGCCATCCTGTGCCCATTTTACCATCAGCATAGAATATGATTCCACCACAAAATCCACCCATCCCCGTTCCTTGCACATAGCCAATTCGTCCCTAAGAGCACGAGACTCGGCTAAGGTGTTGGTTGCCACGCCATAGAAGTGAGCGAAACCAGCAATCAATCTACCTCTGCTATCCCGAATCGGTCCACCTCCCCCTGCAGCACCTGGATTCCCATTTGATCCCCCGTCAACATTCAATTTCATTGTACCACTCCCAGGCTTCTTCCAACTCACTAGCTGAGGAACAACCATAGAAATAAGGGCAATTGGGACATTTAATCTATCCAAAATTTCCCTGTCAGACACTTTAATTTTTCGAAACTTCTTGAAGGAGCTCGCAATTGTGTTCAACATCGTCTTAATCTGTCTAATAACACATCTCGAAGAGATATTTGCCTCTTCCATTCGGGCTGTACATCTAGCTCTCCATAGGTGCCAAGTGATAAGTAAAGGGATGATTCTACGGAACACCCCCACCTGTGTATCTTGTGATGCTTTAGTCCACCACGATACCATTTGACCTTGCCAACAACTAGTCTCCGAGAACGGAATGATGCAACCTCCTGCGAAATATCTCCACACCTCTTTAGCCAAATCACCCGTGCTTAAGACATGATCTGTCGTTTCATAAGATGGCTCCGTACAACAATGACATCTGGATGACAAATTGACACCCAATGCTTGGATATTACTGTCAACAGGTAACTTTGATCTTAGGGCTCACCAACTTACAAAAGAAATTTTCTTGGGCACCATTGGAGACCAAAGCCATTTTTTCCATTCACATATATCACCTCTAGCCCGAATGAGTTCCCAAGCTGATTTGGAAGTGAAACGACCATCATTAGTTGGCTGCCAAACTAGAACATCTCTTCCAGGGCGAAGTACAATATTAGCATCAATGATTGGTTTAACACCATGCTAATTTAGGCGTTCTTATGTTTTTACATGCACTGATTGCCCTATATTTAATGATAAGATTTCTAAATTTGAAGGTATAAAACAATGAATATGATAGAGTTACAACATTTTTATACTAACAATAATAGAGTTCCTTGAGGATGAACTAAATCCTTGTACTACGATTTTTTATAGTTCTACTAAACTCGGTCATGACATACTTGCAAAATTGAGGCTCCCCACATTATTAGCTTGAGTTCTATCTTAACAGATTAACGTTGTTAAGAAG